GGTAAAACAGTGCAACAGCACAGCAGACTCACTCCAAGCCAGATGCAGCAGCGTATATGTATTGTCCAGCATTCTTAATTTTATATTGCAACACCTTATTCTCTTGGCTTTAGTGAGTACTTATCCCTAACAGCCATCTCCAACCATGCCATTATTCCCTTGAACCCTCACACTGGCTGCCCTTTCTCAAACACATCAAACATGAGCTGGATGCTTTCACTGCCAAAGCCCATGGCAGTTCTAATACCATTTCTTATGCAACAAGAGATCTACTTCTATCCTTGATCAGCTCACAGTGCTGGCATCCATTCCTGGGTATCTGTAGGCATAACATGTTTTCCGTTCTGCTTTGAAGGAGCAGCTAAAACAAACCAGAAAACCATAGCATCATCCTCCTTCAAATCCTCCTTAATAACTCTCCCGTACTACAGTGCTGACAAATGCTTACTGCTGACTGGGATCACAACTGACTTCTGTTATCCATTCAATTCTTTTCCAAAGCCATTTGTTCTGTTGGCTTAAACCTTTGAAGAAAGCTCTCTGCTATGAAGCATCACTTTTCTGTCAGGAAAGGAGTGAATAATAGATACTCTACACATTGTGCTGGGCTCTCTAGCCAACTCAAGAATGGTAGTTCTTCTAAAGGATCTCCATAAAACCAGAAAGGAGTTCTATCAGGGATCTCAGCTAGTTACATTTAATTTAATTTAAATACCTCACCAAAGGCAACTGCCCTTGTGATTGGCGACTGGGCAGGAACTGCACTGGTGGGCCACTCTGCACCCATAACCCAGCAGCAGTCTGCTGACTGGCTCTCTCAGCTCTTACCCTGCTACCAACATTTTGGCAAGCCACTGGAAGAAAACTAGTAGTAATGGACCGACACAACCCTGGTATAGCAGCCTGGCAGTTTGATATACTGGGATTTTATTCCTTTTTTTTCCATATGGTGCTACTTTTACAACTGATAAAATGTCTGTACTCTGATTAACCATGGGTTTTCACCTTTTCTGTTTGTAAAAAGAATGGCAGGTGAACTGACGCAGTAGTTTTCTATTCTAGTTTAATTTAAACCCCTGAGAGCTTTTGCTTACTGGACTTAAGATTTTTTTCTTCTTTCTGAAAAGAAACCCAAAAAACTTATCACAAATAAAAGCATCCCAAGGACTTAAAAAGACAATTTAAACATTTGTACATTCCACTTTTTGTCCTCTTAATGTTAACTTCAAATGATCAAAGGTAAGTAAAAACTCTGAATCACTTCAGACAAATTTTAAATCAGCTACCAACTGAATCACAATAATCCATCATGACAATATTTCTCTAATTCTTTTGAGTAATCAGTGTCTTGTTAGCAGGTTAAATTAACATCACAAAAAACATTTAGAAGATGAAACTCAAAGTATAACAATTTGCCTGCAAAAATCCAGAATTACCACAAATTATCAATTTATTTAATGATTTTTCCAGTGTTAAAAGGTTGAGGGAAAGGCTAAAATGACTCCTCTTCAGAGAAGCAGATTCCAAGCACAAACTACTCTACACTCCCGCATGATTTCTCTGGTGAAGATTACACTCTATCATGAAAAGGTTCTACATGAGAACAAAGATGAATCAGGTTCACTCAGTCTGGACTGTGCATAACCAGCATCTGTACAAATTGCATCAACTACTCTGTGAGTACTTTTTAACAACAGAGCTGATTAGAAAATAGAGCCTGAAATCCACTGGCAACTGTAACATATTCCTCCTTCTCAAATGAGCAGGAGTCTAAATTTCTTCACATTGAAGTATTATTAGATTTAGAAACATTTCTGCAATGCTGAAAAATTATATGCTACTATGTGTAATATTGTACAAATAGAAATCAGCATATAATAGTGATGCAAAAATTCAACATGTATGCTTGTAAGGGGAGACTGTAGAGCAGGCCTGTATCATCATCAGGTTTTGGGTGTCCATAAATGGATACTAAACAGAACAGTCTGGGATATCTGTAATACAGCAATCATGGTTGCTGGAAAGCATGAGGGAAATGGACTGCAAATACTGGATAACAGACTCTTCCTAAATAGCATCTTCTAGTGCCACCACAGTACACAGGAAGTTGAGCTACATGGACCATTGGCCTAACTCAGCAAGACAATTGCAAATGTTCTTGAAATGTTCATGTACACACCTCGGGGGAAAACAAAAACACCTAAAAAGAATATTTTGTCAGTCTTCTTGACATTCAATACAGTGAAAGGGATGTATTTCTATAACTGTTCTTGGCAATTCCCTCTATCTCTCCAGAAATGAGAGGTTCCTACAATATACTTTGATACTATAAAACTGTATTTGAGTGGAAAGTCATAATCCATTCCAATTCCAAAATCCATTCCCTCCAATTTTTTCCCCTACCAAGATAATTTTTAACCCATTAAATAAGGGTTTTTTTTACTGTAAAAATAATGCATGTTCCACCTTTTTCCTATTAAAAAATATTTATGACTATAAAATACACTTATGCAATTCACAAACCCAAATTCATCTCTAACAGGGTATGCATAACTCTGCAGCTTTTGAAAATGGACTGAGATGATTCTTAAAGTTCTACCTGATGTCTGTAGGAAGTGAACCATAGAAATATGTTGCATTATGATTCTTGTTTACAGCAGCAAGTAAAAGCTGTGTAATACCTACCATTTACCTTGCAGTGGCTTTTCAGCCTTCACTCTTTCTTGCCCAGGTTGCTCTTTGCACCAGGCAAGGCCTGTGCCATTTGTTCTCCCCACCTGCCCCAGACCTACATGCTCACCTGTAGGGGCCCAACGTGATTCCTCTCTGCTTGTCTTCCATCAGATAATTTTCAACTATCTCAAATATTTTCCCTTCTGAACTAACATCCAGAGCAGAAAGAAATGGCCTACAGCACACTCTGCCTCAGCTGTGTCATCCTGCTGCTGTCTGCTGACATCAAACCACAAAGCTGATTCGTTCCAAGTATGGGATTTCTTTCCAACACAGACTCACTAGGACAGTTTCTCCTGCCTGTGTCTCTGGACACACAGCAAAGCTTAATGCACCTGGCAGAATCCTCCCTCCTGCAATGCTCTGTATTATAAACACGGGTAGAACAACATCCAAGGAGATGTTCAGCTTATCTGAATGGCAGCCTACAAAGAGAAAGGCATTTCTGAACCGACAGTCCAGAGTTCTGTATGGATGTTTTCTTGTTTCACTTTCATTCCCATAGATAGTTTTCTTAAAAATACATTGCATGGAACACATCTTAAAAAGCTGAAGATTTTTCCCTCTAGGAAAAAACCCCAAACCCAAACATCTACATATATGTATTCAAACACTCCAGTGAATAACTTTGTTGGTAACCTGCAGTGGTGATTCTAAATGCTTTACTAAATGCTGAGTTTTACCATCTATCACAACCCATTCATAGTGGAATTTGAGAAACTTTCTCTCTGAATCATCCTGCCCATGGATCCCATCAAAGAACACCAAATGGAGATGATGAAAAGATATTCATTCTTATAAACTGCAGGACAGCTTAATAGCTGCTGTGAAAAGCAAACTGCAACAGCCCTGTAAAGCTGTACACAAGCTGATAAGAAGGTGCCACGGGAACAGAGAAATCTGTTTTATGACAGTTTTCTTTCCCATACACTATTATTAACAGGAAAGCTTCACCAAAGTCAATACTGAAAATTATTTTTGTACTTATGCATATCTACACATACCAGCTGACATCCATTTCATTCATAATCTACATGTGCAGTGACAGAAAGCATCCAAGACACACACTCCATACTTGCACATGTACAGCTTGGCACAAAAAATAGAAAACATACTCCACATGTAGGCTCGTGTTTTTGACATAAAGAATACCGTTCCTTGTGAAATATAAAAGTTAAAATATAAACACTTGGCTGTTTTCCCCCCCCTCTGTTTCATTCTGGCTGTTTGGCATCCATCCTTTACAGGCCAGAAGTTTCACAGATGGGAGTTTCCAACGCTCAGCAGACCCAACGGAAGCCTGATTTTCCAAGATGATCACATCACAAAGGCCTGACACCTTTTGATGTCAGTCTAACCTAGTAATTTGTCATGATTTTCCATGCAAACCATTCTTAAAAGCACCTTCCAATGGAACAAGACTTTGGAATGGAATATGCATTACTGATAGCTTGTTTCTAGAATTTTATACCATTGTATCAGTGAGATATTTGGTAAGGAGATTTGTATTTACTTAGTTGGCAAGTCATAAAATAAAACCAATTCTTCAATCTCAATCTTTATCAACCCTGATCAAATGACAGCAAAAGTCTTGATTCTTAGGAAAGGCACACTATTCCTGTCAGAGATAGTCTTCATTTTCCTCTGGATACAAGAGTAAGTTTGTACAGAACAGGCTGTGAATCTACAGAAACTGTAATGATCAAGCTCTTTGCCCACACATTACTCAAAACTAAAGACAAACACACCTTGCTCTGAACTTAATTTGAGGAAATCCTGCTGCTGTCAACAGCCTTTAGGCAGTAGCTGCTTTTATTGGCTTATTTATCTATTTGTACATTTATCTCCCCCAGAAAAAAAGGAATTAGGTTATATAATTTCTATAATTTCATTTGGGAAAAAAAATCACAATATTGTGTTCTTTAACTGCTATGTCATATGTTAGTGATATTTAAAGAAATGCTACTACAAGAAGATTCCCATGGCAAGCCTTCCACCAAAGAAAGATTTTAGGTAGCAAATCCTATGAGTTATTAGAATTTATATCCTAATTCTGAAGGCACAGGACTAGCAGTGTAATACCAAGATAAAATAATTGCTGAACAATTTAATCAGGACAGGAAAAAGACTAAACAACAGCATTTATCACTTTGCATGCAACCACTCTTAAAAAAACAAACCAAATTACTTGCATCTCGTTCATTGAGTTTATACAAAACAATGGAATACCAAGTGGAATAAACTTCCTATTTTTCTGTATTATTTACCTCAAGAACTAGCCAAAGCTGGTCTCCATTTTTCACATCCTTCTTATAGTACATGCCGTAAAATTTGACTACATTGGGATGATCAGAGAGAGCTTTCAAAATGTTGTACTCAGCTTCAATTTCTTCATCAATGTCCTAGTGTCACAAACGAGAAATACATAGAAGTTAACAAATAAATAATAATAGCCATTAAAAAAAAACAAACCCACAAAGTATTTTCTGTCAATTCAAATGTAGTTTGAAATGATACAAAGAAAAAAACCAAATAGAACATGAATATACCATTTAGAGAACTGCAAAGCCTGCTTTTGTTTAGTGAATACAAAGCAGTCATTTTTTTAAATTTTATTTTGACTTTATCAATTTTAACTAATGAACACATGGGATATGACAGAGTAGCCCTCAGGACACAGGGGAAGGTGTAAGGGTCCTGGAGGACAACAACAGTCCATGAGCCATCAGTGTGCCCTGGGGTCCAAGAAGACCAATGGGATCCTGGGCATGCATTAGGAAGAGCATCACCAACAGCTCTAGGAAGGTGATCCTGCCCCTCCACTCAGCCCTGGTGAGGCACATCTGGAGTGCTGTGTCCAGTTCTGGGCTTCTCAGGACAAGAAAGACATGGAGCTAATGGAATGGGTCCAGAGGAGAGCTACAGAGATGATTAAGGGATTGGAACATCTCTCTTATGAGGAAAGGCTGAGGAAGCTGGGCCTGTTCAGTTTCAAGAAGAGAAAACTGAGAGAGGACCTCAACAATATCTACAGGTGTCTGAAGGGAAGGTGTCAAGAAGATGGATTCATAAGAAGTTGTTCCAAGCAACAGGATGAGAGGCAACAGGCAGAAACTGATGCACAGGAAGTTCCATCTGAATACAAGGAGAAATTCTTTACTGCATGGGTGACAGAACACTGGAACAGGTTGCCCAGAGAGGTGAAGTGTTCCTCTCCGGAGAGATTAAAGAACTCTCTGGATATAATCCTGTGCCACGTGCTCTAGAAAGACCCTGCTTGAGCAGGGAGGTTAAATCATATGACCCCACCACTGGTCCCTTCCAATCTGAACTATTCTGTGATGTCAAGGCAAAGCCAGTGTAATCCACAAATAGGGAGGTGTACAGATGCCTTGGGAAATTATCTGTTATTGCTCTAATCTTAATGGTAACCCCAGCTAGAAATGGTGCAGTTGGAACTACTTCTCTATCCCTCTGTGCATGAACAAGTATGACTGCAGCCACATCTTATTCATCTGCCATCCCACCTTCTAGAAGTACCTAGAAATTCTCATTCTCTACTGCCATAGAAGCTGGTGACATCCATGGTCTCTCTGGGTTCTGCTACTGAACCATAATAATTGTGGCTTTTTGTCACATTCTCATTACAGACCTTGGCTTTCTTAGACAGTGAGGGAAATCCTTTTGGAGGTGAGATATGAGGATCAGTTTTGCCAACAGATGCACTGGGAGCTGTGCAAATCCCTTCAGACCAAAGAGGATGCAGGAACTGGCAGGCTTTAGCAGGCATTGGATGACTCAGGTAAACCTTTCCCACCTGTGCACTGGAATTGCTCATTGAGGGATGATGATTATACTGCATTTAAGTCATGCTGACAAAATATTCAGTCCCTCCTGACAACAGATAAAGGCAAAATATCTGCAGCCATTTTCCTCTCATTGTTTAGATCTCAAAAAAAATGTTAACACACTCATTTCAGATTTAAAACATTTTTAAGTACTATTTACTATTTACAGCTACACAAAAAGAAGTGAAAATCTGTTCGAGAAGAAGGCTCCCTTATGAACTGCACTATCCATATGAATGGATTTCTTATCAGTGAAAAGCATCTATTCAGTGCCAAAAACCTGTCTCAGCAAAGCCAAATAGAAGTGACCCTGGCAGAAAAAGGGGTTGTTTCGTATTCCCAATGAATGATGCTCCTTCTCATTCTGTTCAACACTCCTGCCCCTAGAGCACTTTTGCTCACTTGTTTCATATGCAGGTCTCTCCAATATCCTATTCAAGTTTCTCACACAAGCCTTTTGTCTTGATACCAGCTTGACTGGTCTCCAAGAACTTCCTCTGTCACCAGTATCTTCATGAATCAGGCCATTAAACTTTCATATTAAGATTACTAGGATAAGTCTTCTCACAAGGAAGGATTTTAGAGATCTTGTTATTGGAACAACTGAAAAACAGTAGGAATTTTCCTCTTTCTAAAAAAAGGAGGAAGTTGCTTTAAGGTAATTTTCCCATAAGCACAACAGACAATACAGAAAAAAAATACAAGGAAGGAAGAAAGAACCGAAGTATGGAAGGTGGCAGAGAATGAAAAGAGGAAGAGCGGAAGGACGGATGAAGACAGAATACACCTCTGGCAAAAACAAAAAAAAAGAAATAAAAATTCAGTCAAAAACCAAGAAATTAAAAACCAAGCATACAATAGCTTTGACTGCCTTGGGGAAATTGGAAGAGAATTAGCCCACTGTCTTACTGTGAATTAATAGTGGTTTCTGTCTCCAGAGGGGTACTCAGATTTTATGAGATTTTTACAATTATAAGGAGAAATTAAATTAATAGAATATTCATTCTGTGCCTACTAAAAAGAAAAATATTCCTCAATATTTTATGAGGAAAAATATTTGAAATATTTGGCTGAATTTAGCATATTTACCTTAATAAAAGAGCTGCATTAGAAATGGCAGACTGAAAATTCTCATCCTATATATAGGATAATTTTGCTAAGAGTACTAAAATATAATGATGTTTACTTATAGTCCTGAGGACAAGACTAAGCCTTCTCAGTTCCATCTTCATATATTCTCATTTCAACACCTTTGCTTTTCTGTTTCAGTTTCAAGAAGCTGAGCTATTATACACCCAAAAGAGTCTGTACTCTAAAGGATTAAACATTAAATGCTTATTTCAATCTTGTATTACCCACGATAATGTAGGTTCCCAGTTTAATTTCAAAGTATCAGTTAAACCAAACCACATTTCTTCTGCTTTGTTTCCAGTCTACCTCTCAAGAGGGACAATTCTGAAACAATTTCCAAAGGAAAAAAATTGTAAAATGTAAAGAAGAAAATACATAAAGCATCTTTTTCTTCATTGCAATGGCTCCCTCTGCAGCCATTAATAATACTTTCAGTTTAAATAAAAAGAACCCATTTATTGCTTTCACTTTATTTCCAATACAGGATTGTCACTTTAACAGTAACATGGAGGTACAGCAGCTACTCCAGACATCCTGTAAATAGGAGAGGGCAAAGAAGAACGGTGTTCTTAGAATAAAAAATGTAAAACATTTAGTTAAGAGTCAAGCCTTGAAAGAGTGATGTTGACTATGCTACTGCCATTTTTTTATTAAAACAAGGAACCTGTTTTCATCAGTTATACATTTGCTCATCTTAATTTTCTTAAATTGCATCTTTATCCATTCTATTTCTTCCATCTCCTTTACATTCTATTCCTTTTTCCTACTTAATCTACTTCTCTTTCCTCTAGCATCAGATTTACTAATTTCTTTTTCTTCCTATCATCATCGTTTAATATTTTTCTGCAACCTCCAAAGTGTACCGAAGAGTGAAAGTTTCACTGATTCCTTCAGGAATTCCTGCCATAGCCAGCTGCCGCTTAAGAATCACTCCTGAGCACTTCTGAAGCATAGGAAAGCAAAAGTACTTCCTGCCAAGCAGGCATTTAGATGAACACCAATGGCAAGGAAGTCATGCCTCTTTATTGTAAGCACAAGAGCTTTGTTTACAGAAAGCAAGAGAGTCAAAAATAGTATCCAATGCATTTGAACTCATCAAGATGCTTATCACTTGGCAAGTTATGTTTACTTTGGAAGAGGTTGTGGTATTGAATTGAGATGAGCACCCTTTTCTTGCTTTGAAAGCATACTGACATAAAAAGCAGATCAGCAAGAAACACAGCAAAGATAATCGAAGACACTACATTTTCCCCAACATATTTCATAGACTTTTGTGTCTATGGGATCATAATCTGTGATGTGCAGAGGTAGAAGAGCCCTGTGTGGCTGTGCAGCTCCAGAGCTGGAGGGTCCACACAGCATGGCATGCTCGCCATTCCTGCCCAGAGGTCATGCCATGGAAGTGCACACCTCACAAACCTATCCTGGGAGTGCAGAAGATGAACCTAAAAGGGCCTCCGAAATAGGAACAGCTGCTTTCCCATGTTTGGTTCTCAAGAAAAATCCCAAGCTACATGCAGCACCACTGAAGTCAGTGGGGTGTGCCTTTATAAATCAGACTAGTGTTCTTCCTTAGTCTTTGAGCATTAATCTACCACCTAACAAATGTCAGTTTTTGAGAACAAAACCATGCTCTACAACTTCATAATTCCACCTGCCAGTTGCCTGGTGCTTTGTGTGTAGAGCTAATCCCTTTGCATTTTCCATTTGAAAAGATGGATTCCTCTGTGAGGCCTACATATACTGGCACATTCTGAAAACACAGAACGAACAATAACAATACAGTATGCTATTTTATTTTTGAAGTATCACTCACAGCACATAACTCAGCTACAAGCATGTACTCAGATGCTTGAAGGTACAGCTTAAGTACTTAGAAGTACATAACTTCCTTACTGGCCAGTATGTCAAATACTTAAAAAAAGGAAAGGGAACAACAGTAAAAATAGAATAAGCTAGGGCTCCTCATACTGAAAAGGAAAATAATCAGCTCTGCTTCTGAAAACAAGACAAAAGGGATAACAAAGTAAAAATAACAAAGTTTAAGTATATTTCTGACTTTTACCATAAGCAATGACTTCCAAGAGCACTTATGATAAGTGCTAGCATTATCATATCATATCAATGCTAGTGCATTAATAGCTAGCCTGATATGAAGCAGGCTGAAATAATTTATTTCACTGTCACTCCTAAGACAAATTATCTACAAAGATTAAGAGAAAAAAAAAAATACTACATAAACTCACAATTAACAAAGTAACTTAAATAACTTACATGAACAGGATCCAAAATTTTGACTGCTGCTTTGCTGCCATTTTTCTTATTTAACACCTTGAAAACTTTTCCATAAGTTCCTTTGCCAATAGTCTCAATTATTTCCCAGGTATCTGAAGGATCAGGAAAGCTATCAAATATTATTGTTTTCCCAGTCAACGGAAGCATCTCAAATGATGGCTCCTAGGAAAAAGAGATGTCAGTGTCCACACAACAAATGGTTAATAGCAATTAGCTTCCTAGAAATGGGAAGAGAAATACACATTCCAGCCTCAAACACTAGAAATGTTTTTGCATATAGTGTGCATGCACAGATAGCATAATGAATAAGAACTGCTGCACTTGAATTTCCCTCCATTTGATATCGTGTTGACTGCACAATATCAAATGAAGGTATGTGCAGTCAACACAGTATCAAATGAAGGGAAATTCAAATGATAATTTGAACCAAATTCAGGTTTGAGTGAAGCCAGTGGAAGCTTGCCCATGCACTTCAATGAATATATATTGTCACTCCAGGATCTTTGAAGAGACAGAGGAATGAAAGTGAAGTTCATAAAAACCCAAAGAATTTAGGTCTATTACCAAGAATCAGGCAAGAAGTGTAAAGAAACGCACACAAAACATCTTAAATAGTAGCAGTAGGTTCATTGAAACTCTTACAGGGAACTATCATTTTCACAAGCCTACTCTTAAGATTTGAAATATGACATAGGTCTCCAAAGGCCAAGCAGGTCAAAGTGACAGATCTTTTCACAATGCTGTGGTCTTCTGACAGTCAAGCACTCAGTTGTGGAAAATGTGCTTACCAATGTACATCCTTTAACAACTGGTTTACATACTGCAAAGAAAACACCTTTTACAATGATTGAATTGTATCCATCACTGACCAGGTTACACCAACACCCTGGTCCATGACAGATACAATTCACCAGGAAATCTGCAGCAGACTGTTGTGTACTTGGTAGTGCAGCCAGTACTGGCCCAGCTCCTTGATTCCAAACAGTGGGAACAAAATGATCCTGTTTTACCTGATACAATGAAATCTCCCATAGTACTATTCCAGGTTAAGGTGAGAGTAAAGATCAAGATCCGGAGACATACAACTGCAGTAAGTATATCCTCAATTTTCCATTCCAGATTCAAAATTTGCTTCTTTTTTCTGTCCCACAGGATTTACAAAGACTCAGCTCAGTTAGGACACTGATCGTAGTCTCTCCCTAAGGCAACACCTTATGCCTAGTCTTTATCCATGCCTTGGGAATTTCACCACATTCAGGCAAACCCTTTTCTTTCCCCAAAAAAGAACACAAATGAGTCACAACTTCGTTTTTATTTGTCTTTAAAGCAGTGCTCAAATACAGTTGTTTTGTCGGGGTTTTTTTAATCACTTCACATATAAATGCTTTGTAATTAGCTTCTGCACTCTTGTAATTAGGGGACTACACGAAACAATAACTAAACTTGGGATGATAAAGGGATGAGGATTCATAATCTCAAACCTTTGCTTTGACGGTTTCAATAATGATAGAATTTCAAAATTTACCTAAGCTTTAGATTTTTTTTTTATTTGAGGCTAACTATTTGTTTAAGATCTTACTGGATAATAAACCTGTAACTAGTGGAGTTTTTATTTTTGTAAGAGGGAAAAAAGTTAAAAGGTATCAATGGTTGCCTTCATAAGAACTAAGGCATTCAAACCATATTGAAGCCTGTCTACATACAGGCTATTTTCTACACAATATGTAATTTTCCATCAAAATCTAAAGCCTGCTATGTCTCACATTACAAGAAAACACAGGAGCTTCTGACCCGGGCAGTAGGAGAGAGGCAGCACTGAATAAAGGAAGATTTAATTCCTCCCTTTCGAAGATGAACACTTCTGGCACGGGAACTCAAAGAACAGCTTCACATATTTAGACTGTGCCAGAGCCAAGCAGGGAACTCTGATACGTTGAATCTCTAAATAAGCAAAGGCCCACCCTGCTACAGGGAAGTTTTAAATGAAGCAGAGCACTCTAAGCAGCAAGGTTCCAAGCTGGTGCTTCAGACAGCCTCCCAGGCCTCATTAACTCCCTATACATTGACAGAATGAAGCTGAAATTCATTGACTCCCAGTATCAATTGCTTATTTGTCTGAAGAGACTGGTACAATGAGAACTGTTAAAGGGCTAAGGAAACATGATCCTGCAGGTGCTATTCGGCTACCAGAGAAAAAGTGCTAGAGAAATTGTCATGTGCTTTTGCTTTCTTTAGAAAATCTACCAGTTGCACATCTAGTCTTAAGAAAAGTCACCACATACTTAAACAATATGCATTCAGTATCTATTGTACTTAGTTCAATAATTTAAGAGTGCTATTCCAGAAAAAAAATATTCACTTCAGTTCTCTCTTTTGATTTACACCTTCAAAATATGAAATTTAATAAATTACACTGAATACCATGTTTCCTCACTTTCACCAAGTTTAAGAACAAGTCACTAGAGATAAATTGTTTAGTTTCCACTTCAATTATTGAAAATATATTAAATAGAATGATTTCAAGTGTTCTGCTCTGGATGATGGATAATGTTTTATTACATCTCAGTGAAGTTGTGAAAGCTGATAATGATTTAACCTCATATTTCAGCAATAAATTGGACTGCTCCTGGAAATATGTCTGGATGCCCAACCAACTGGATAATTTATCATATCCTTCACCATTAAAAATTTACTTAAAAGCCACCACAATTTATAACTTGATCCAAACCTCTAAGCTGGGAATGTAGCCTTGAATCGCTAGGAAAAAAAGAACTTTTAAAAATACTTTTAGTGTGATCAGTGTGACAATTCACTCAGCTTCTGCACAGATTTTGGCTACCTTGCTGGTGAGGCCTGATGGATGCTGGGCACAGCACCCGTAAATCAAAGCAAGAGCATCAAGTAGGCAGACAGATGGCCTGAAAGAGCTCAAGAGCCATTATGAGCATTACGCACCATTATCACCAGCAAATCTCTGTCTCCTTGTCATCTTTCCCCTTTTTTCCCCAGAATCTGCTCACTTACAAAAAATGATATAGGCCAAATCTCCAAGCTGGAAGGTATAAAATCCAAAAAGCTTTAGAAGCAAATCTAGCAGGAGCTGGATTGCTGAGGCCTTCCTGCTGCTTGGTGTGTTACAGGGAATGCTTGCACTGTGACAGAGGAGAAGGGATAAGCAATTTCTAACCCCACAGCTAGGTTTCATTTTTTTGGATTTGCTTGAAGGTGTATAAATTAAGAGTTACAGGTTATAAATTACAAAACTTTATGGCTTGAATGGTGAACAAATTAATTCCTGTGATAGACTGACCTAGGCAAAAGGGGATTGAGCCCCTCTTCGTCATGTTTCATATCGTTCTTAATGAGCTCATGAAACACAGTTTAAATCAGAGTACATTGTCCTGTAAGTTTGAGAGAACTTAGGATAATTCAGGATATTCAAGGCAAGGAGAAAGTAGATTTGGAGTTCCAAAAAAACAAGGTTTTGGGTTTTTTCAGTTGGTTGGTAGGTTGGTTGGCTGGTTGGTGTTTTTTTTTTTTTTTATCT